ATTATAGGCCTATGCCCGATGTACCAATGGTGTAAAGAGTCCTTCACTATGTAATATCCTGAGCAGGGGCCAGACTAATCTTCTCTTTTAGTATATGTACTGTGTGAACAGTACCAATGTATTATGCCCTACCCAGTGTGTGTTTTAGGGCTTCATTGTCCCTTTAACAAGCATGTCGTAGGAGGTGACTGATTACGGGTGGTTCCTTCAAAACCAAACTGCATCTGCCTAACAGGTAAGGAACCAACAGTCTGCATACAAAAAAGCCAAATCTGTAAAATGCATGCGCACACAAAACTCAAGTTCTGGATCAAGTGTAAAGTCCAGGAGTGGACGACAAATAAGAACTTTCCATCAGAGCCGGTGAACGCTAAGAAGAAGGAGAAGAAGCTATATATACTCTGAGAGTACTAGAGAATTTCAAAAATGCTACAAAGTCTCGTCAATCGCTGAAGAAGAAATCCCAACTGCACTTGTGTGCTTCAGTTAGGAAACTCGCCACGATACTAGAAATATTGGGGAGGAGGGAATGAGTATCCATCAGTATAAGTTTCACTTAATAAAATTAGAAATACAGTACAACCTTACTAACAAAAACTCAAAGGAGTTAAAAAATAATCCTGAGTTTGTGTTACAAGACATTTGCTACACAGGGACTAATAATAATATATCATTGCTATGACTAAAAGTTTGTTCACGTTAACTGAATGCTCTTCATAACTGTATCTGTGTTAACAAGCTCTACTGTAGTTGTGTTCAGTCACTGATTGTACACAACTTACCATCGGTGTGGGAACCATTCTGCATTAAGTAAGGATGCTTCTCTGATTTATGACCTCCATCAGAATTCTGTGAAGATTAAAACAAATAACACATATTACAGGGACAGGTAGAGCTGCGGCTAGATGGTTTCCTGCCAGCCTGAAGTTCCTGGGTTCTAATCATACCAGAATTTTACAAAAATGACTTTGGCTACCAGACTGAGCCAGCCTAAAATGGGTACCAGGTAATGTCCTTGGAAGTAAACGTGACCAGCATCATGCTGACCACAACATCTGTAAAGTTCCGATATGTCTAGCAATATATGCCGGACGGTGAAAAAAGGTTAGACCTACTGCCCCCCCCCCCCCCCCCCCCCCCCCCCCCCCCCCCCCTCCAGCATGTCATAAAAGGTCACTAGTTAGAGGTTTGTTGAAATTTAATGTGCAAGGCTGGAATGCGCAGCCTTAATGTAAAAATCAGCATACTGTGCCAAGCATCTTTTTCAGCACAATCACAGAAGAAAGGCCAGTATTTTAGTTCCACAGTGGTTTTTTTCAAAAAAACATGTTCTAGTGGTTTTTGGACAGAAGTGTGAGAGTCGCACCAAGGAAAAGATTGGGACCTCACCACACATTTTCCCAAAGACAGCAGTCAGTGCACAGTAGCTGTTAGATGTGTTCTTAGGATGTAACCCATCCTACCAAGTGCCCAGGGTGTATGACTTGCTCCTGTCAGATACAAGAGCTCCCTCGGAAGACAAAATGACTATTAGGTTCCTACAGGAGAACAAGAAGAGGCCAATGACAACAGGACCACTATAAGCAGGCACACATAACAAGTTAACATGTCCTATGTTATTGTAACCTCTAACATTGTCTACAACTACTGTAATGTACTACACCACGCCAAGTAGGATCTTGCAGTGAGATCAGTCTCTTTATTATGAATGAACACATTGGGATCTGCGATGCCTGGCGGCATAAGCAGATATTGACAAAAGAAGAAAGAATAAGATATTGCGACAAAGATGAATTGGTGATCAATGACTCACTGTCGAGTCTACTACTCAAAATACTCACATCAGTCTCTCCAGACATTGAAAGTACACCCCAGTGAACTATGTACCAGGTGTCTGCTATGGGCGACCCACTACCTGATCGTGTAGATACATGTGATGTGCAGTGAAAATCTTTGACGGTTCTTCCTCTAAAAGCCCCCGCCACCCGAGGACTCAAGTTAGATGCTCCACATGGTAAAAGAATCCATCCAGACCTCCTGTCTGCCACCCCAGCCACTCACTAAAGCATCACTGATCAATATCCAGTTAACCAGCTTTCAATACTTCATCACAATTCCCCACGTTTATCAACATGCACAAAGCACCTTCTATGCACGTAAGGACACCGTCAACCAGCTCGCCACATAGCCGCCACCATGCCAACTTCACGCTCATGGCTGACACAAGTCCATAAAAAAAAAGTAACTGACAGAATTCCACAGTCCAACTAATAATCCACCACAGTTATCCCTACAGTTCACAAGAGCCCCACAGAATAAAACATTGCTAAATTGTTAAGTACCACGCACTCTTGCCAACAGCAGTCAGCTGCATGTGGATCTCACATACCGCACACAACTCGGGGAGTTTGCAATCATCTGTGAATATCGACCCACACAGATCCCACTATATCCATGATGTTCACAAGTCTCATGTTTCCCCAATGGATCATGCGCTACTCTCTTCAAGTGACCCCAAATGTTTACATTCACAACCAGTCAACACAACATAAATGCCTGTGAGTACTCATGTTTCACAAAGCCCTGGCTTCATTAACTCTTTATATACGAGAGTAAATTTCGCACACAGCAGTAGCTAACCTTAATTGTGGAGATGACATAGTTTCAAAACTTAAGGAAAGCTGGAAAGAGACTGGCTATTTGATTGCAGAGAAAACTTTTCAAAACAACAACCTGTTATAAACAGGTCTGCCTATGAGTTGGATGAGGGTCTATGCTCACTGGGAGATAGAAGTTCAGTTCTATGGTTGATACAGCCTTAAAAAATCGGCACCAAATAATTATCAGAATTGGCTTTGAAATAAATACAGTGAGTAAGAGATCTGGCTATACTATCTCAGTGTACCATGACCCAGTGGCCAGGCATGCATATAACGGCTGTAATAACCGTTTACCCTTTCTCATGCCAACGAAAAATGAAATACTTTACTATTCATTGTGTTTACTATTACAAATATGCCATCTGGTTTATGTCTCGCACAAAAGAATGCTCTCAGGATGCTTACACTACTCATACAGAAACTGTAACATGTGAAAGCTACCACTTACTAGTACTTCGATGCCAGCTGCACACGGCACACATAAACTCTCCACAGCAAAACGATGAGGAGGAAAATATCAAGTGATGCCCTGTCCAGTGTAGCAGTTATCTGTAAACGCTTACACCTGCGAATTGTTCATGCCTCATCATGAACCAGAATATATAAAGGTATATATTTTCACACTTAACCAGCCGTTATCTGCCATGAAATAAAACCAACCTTTATCTGAAAAAGCAAACACCTAAAACCACAGAAAACAGCATGCAACGCCTGCTAACCAATGACATACCTGTAGCTGTAATGAGCTGTCAAGCCTGTCCTGCGGGTGGTTAATGTCCCCAGAAGTTTGTTTGTCAGCAGCAGTACTATTTACTGAAACAAGAAAGTAGTAAACATTTAAACAGTTGACAACAATAAAACTAATTAATCAAAAGATATTAAATGGTTTATACAGATTCAACGGGAGTCACCGTGGCATAGCGGCTAGACGCTCGTGTGTGGATCGAAAGGTTGTGGGTTTGCTCCCTTGCTGAGCCGGACTTTTTTTCAAAAAATGACCTCGACTCCCAAATCGATCCAGCCTTGAGTGGGTCCCGGGTGCAGTCCCGGGAAGTAAAGACGGCTGGCGTGATACTGACCACATCATCCATCTTGTGCTGATTGGTCTATACAAATATAGGTCTAGCCCTATAAGCCTTATAGCCTAAAGACGTGGAAACGGGACCTTATTTTTTACAGATTCAACTATATATATATATATATATATATATATATATATATATATATATATATATATATATATATATATATATATATATATATATATATATATATATATATATATATATATATATATATATATATATATATATATATATATATATATATATATATATATATATATATATATATATATATATATATATATATATATATTTGTTTTCATTATAAAGTGAATATATAATCTGATCTATCATGGATTTGCCAGGAGTTGTGACTGTTGGCCATAACATAAACAACCTGCGTAATGCTGATGACAGCATCTTGATTGTGACAAGTCAGAAAGAACCACAGCAATTGATAGATACTGTGGTGGTAGAAAGTGACAAAATGGGCCTCAGTTTGAATAATGGAAATACAGAAGTAATCGTGATTTCCAAGAAAAGAATAGTGGCTAAATGTATAATTAAAGTCAAAGGCGTCATTTTAGGACAAGTACAGAATAGTAAGTATCTAGGCACATAGAAAACATCTGATGGAAGATGTATCACAGAGATAAAGTATAGAATAGGACAGGCCAAAACTGCTAGTTCTCTAGCTGTGTGGTCACAACGACAGCAGTATTGATTTGACAGAGTTATATATTTAAAGTTTTATTCATAAAAACACAATATAAATATGTTGATAGCATCTAGGAAGATAATAACTTCAGTCAAAATGTTTTGTTGTGTCTGTGTGATTTCCTTCCTATCCCTCTAGAATTTCGTAGCCATAATTTGAGTATTGCAAATTTATTTCTTGATTTCAGCTCGACTGCAGTGACCCCCTATATTATTTACATACTTAATGGTAATTTTCCACTGTTGAAATATAGGCTGACATCATTACCTGTCAGCAACAGAGTGTATTTAGAGTAGCAATATTTACGCATATACAACACACCTAGATATCCTCTTCTTTGGCATTCGCCCCTACAAAGGATAGTTAGCACATTCTGTTTACAGCAAGGCTGCAATATCTGTGACTTTTGACCGAACTCATCGGATTTCAGGAAACCTCTAATCAGTTGCTTTTGATACATTTGTTGGAAAGGTGGGTCTAATTCACAACTCCCTCTATAATGGGCCGTCAGAACCCACAAAAATTAACTATAAATTCACATCCACAGAGGTGACTGACCTTGTTTATTTCCACAGCTGTCAACTGATGATGTGGATCTACTATTGGCTGTGTACAAAGACTTGACATGAACAACTGAGGAAGAGAATCAGGCAAATAACAACTTAGAAGGTAGGCTGGCTACAATAGATTAGTTTAGTAGCTGACAGAATCCACATCCCTGCATCCAATCCCGCTCCCTCCCTTTTCCATAGACATTTAACATAGAACCACCCATAGTAATGAGTGAGAAATTCCATGACATCAGAAGGGGTTCTTCAAGACGATAAGTCAAGGGTCAGAGGCCAGCTAGGAAATAATTAACAAGAAAATTTGGGTAAATGGGTATTGAGTTTTTCACAGGGTTTAGTGAACTGCAGTTGAAAAAATGGAACAAGCTGAGGGTAATGAAAGGGACAGTCATTCCAAGTGAGAGCGTGAGCGAGAGGATTGTCTGACTATGCAAGGAACAAGTTAAATGCTACACGAATCTGTCCTGCTGAGAATGTGAACGATTACCTGGCGAGTGCAACAAGAATGGCCGACAGAGAGGTAGAAGGACTGCTGAATGTTGAAGTCAAGATATGCTTGTTGCGAATAATTGATGGCGAGCAAGAGCCAATGGCATATTCAACTTAAATCAAGGTAAGGCAGTTTCACTATCAGAATGACTCTGTGTGGCTAAAATGATATATATCAGCTTAGGAATACAAAGTTAATGACAGACACAGAGCTAACGCTGATTGATGGAACAAGAATAAATAGTCATGTTTTGAAACTGGTGTTCCGCTTCATATGTTGTCATAGCTAACTCGGACTACTGGGACAGGTGAGATCCCAGGTTACTGCAGTCCTCTAGTTCCGTCAATGAAGCACCACTGCACCGCACCCATCCTTATTCAAGCTGCTCAGAATACATCAAAAGACACCTGCCTTAGTCATGTACAGAACACCTCTTTGTGCAGAAAAAGGAATTTTACTTTTATTTTACATACCACACATGTAAGATACTTTGGCTTCTGACTGCAAGAGTTAAAATATGGACAGATATAAACATGGGCACATACAGAAACAGACAGACAGACAGACAGACAGACAGACAGACAGACAGACAGACAGACAGACAGACAGACAGACAGACAGACAGACAGACAGACAGACGGACAGACAGACAGACAGACAGAGACACACACACACACCCACCCACCCACACACACACACCCACACACAAATTGAGACACACAGAGTAATAGAGAAAAACATACAGGCACACAGGCACAATCACATTTTGTCTTTACTTTCTGATTTTATCCAACACTGGATCAAATATAGACAGACAAACTGACACAGAGAAGCACACATTATGATATACACCCTGTCAAAACTTCCTGATTCCACCCAAGACCCAATCAGAGTCATAGATGAACAGAGTTGCTCAATCACTATGGACAGACATAAACAGACAAGCAAAACATGCAAGCATGCACACATTCTCTCTCACTCTCTCTCTGACACATACCTTGTCCAAACTTCTTGATTTCATCCAGCAGGCGATCAGAGTCATACAAAAACCGTGTCGTTCTACCAAGATCATCATCATGCCTTCTCTCACTGACAAAATGCTGAAAAGACACAACGTTAACATTTACCCAATTTTAGTGGAGGAGTTCAATTCTTTTTTTTTTTTTTTTTAAGTGTCATTTTTTTAGCAGAGTATAATTTAGAAAATGGAGTGGTGTGGCACCAACATACAAAGAAAAAGAAATACATTTAGATAAATATAAATAAAATATATTTTATATTTATCTAGCAGACTGCAGCATTACTGTATAATGGTTACTTGAAATGAAATGAATGAAAAGCTCATAGTTTAAGCATGAAAGTAGGACTAGCTGTAAGCCTTACTTCTGTAATGTGAGAAAGATACAAAAGTCATGCGAGAACACAAAGCCAAGCCTAGTAGCCAGGCAGGCAATAAAACTGTTAACCCATCTGCCACACAAATATAGTCCTGAGAAAAGTTCATCTTGACAATTACATGAGTTTTGAGTGTTGTGTTATTCAATATCTAGGTGATGACTTCATTTGCATAACTGTCATTAACTGGCAATGACTACAGTTGTGATTAAGGACTTACTGATAATAAAATCATTTAGTGCCAGAAATTACACAGAAATTCAATGGCTATGACAGCTGAAGTTTGTTGGGAGGCTAAGGTCAAGATTATTACGAGTACTGATTATAGAAACATGCCGTGCCAGACCACACCATTGATGAGAGTGTCATTTCTCAGTCTGTTAACAGGAACACATGATTTGTTTAGCAGGAGAAAAACCTTATATTTACAAATGGGGAGAAATTTTATCAGTGGGAGTAGTAGTCAAACAATGAATTTAAGTAATGGGAAAAAGGACATTAGACAATTTATTGCCTGGCATATTTCGCTGTATCTTGCCAAGAGCCTTGCCTTTGTACATAACAACAACATAGAAACTAATAAGGCACAGGACTTACCTTTATCTCTGCCTTGAGCACAGATATGTCTGTGTCCCTGAGCCTATCTGACCGGTCCACTTGTTTTCTGAAATCTGCAGCCTTGTTTTGCCTCATTACCAACATTTCCGCTGCGTTGGAAAATTAAGACAATAAGTCCCTGTATGTTAAACAGATTCTCAGAAAACATAAAAGCAAAAGGATCATGACAATGAATAAGAAGTGATACCACTGCACTCTGGACAAGCCAACAGTGCTTAGTCTCTCCCAGCAAAACAAAGATACTATAACCTCATTTTAGCAGAACAATGTAACCACAAAAGCATTTCAGCAGAGGCAAGGTATAATAAATTACCATTACTGAAGCAACCAGAAGAAAATTATCATAAATTACAATCATCTTAGTTAGTTAGTTAGTTAAGTCTTTCCTCTTGTGTCGAGTGCGGCACATAGGGCAGAGGTCGTGACTCTCCATGCACGGCGGTCCGTTGCAATCCGTTGTAGGTCTTGGATGTTTGAGTGGCCCATGAGCGAGCCTTCCCTGATGATAGTTCTACGTCATCTAATCTCAGCAAAATAAAATTATCTATAATTATCACAACCTTATTTCAGCAGCAATGGAAAAGTATAATAAATTCCAATTATTTTACTTCAGCAGAAGAAAGTTATTAAAAATTACTATTATCTTACTTCAGAAGAACAGCTGGCTGAATGGTTAGAACACTGGGCTGGGCTCTTTTGAAGAAGACCCAGATTCAATCTCTGGGTAAGGGATGAAGATTTGTGTCCGTCAGTGGCAAAATAAACATTCTACCCTGCACAGTTCATGGTGACGGCACTAGCCATGCGGCCTTAAATACACAGGCTAAACCCCCCCTGTCCTACACCATCAAGTGGTATAAACAGACAGCAAAGACAGTATTATTCTAGAACTAGAATTCTTTCACATCAACTTGGATTTCTAGTAATTCCCCCTGGTCTCTGGGTAGTGAGATCAGGCACCCGCGTGCATTGTTGCACACGTAAAAAAAATCCCTTGGCAGTTGGAAATAAAAAAAAAAAAAGAGCCTAACGGCGCTGCCTGGGCTAAAATTTGGAGTTGAAAATCTACCCAAAGTATTTTAGGATCCTTGATGGCGCTACAGAGCCTGTGCACTGTGCTGAGCTTCTTTGGACTCAGACTTGAGTTAGAAGCAGATCGGAGCACTTATGGGTTACATTCGTGTACCATGATGTTGATCCGTTGTTCAAAACCTCAAAACCTCAATTCTAAATTCTTATTTCAGCAAAAGAAAGTTATCACAATCTCATTACTTACAGGCTTCCTGCTTTAAGACATTCATTTCTGCCATAAGCTGGGACTCCCTGTCATTCAGTCTGAAACGATTACATGTACACATGAAAACATGCAAGTCCTGTCTTGGTTATATATGACTCAGCTGCTGTAGAGTGTATCACAATAGTCAGTACTACATGTTTCTTTGTTAATTTAGTCAGATATGACTGACCTACCAAAGAGTAGCTGGTGCGACCTGTTTTTCTGTTAACTTAATCAGATATGATTGACCTACCAAATAAGAGTAGTTGGTGCCACCTGTTCTCTGTCAACTTGGTCAGATATTATTGAGCTATCGTACAACATCAGCTGGTAATACCTGTTTTCTGTTAATTTGGTCAGATACGACTGAGCTACCATATAACAGTAGCTGGTACTACCTGTTCCTTGTTAACCTAATCAGATATGATTGAGCTACCATATAACAGTAATCAGCACTACCTGTTCTCTGTAAACTTGGTCAGCTATTACAGAGCTAACCATTACAGTAGTCAGTACTATCTCTACTCTGCTAACCTGGTCAGATATGACTAAGCTAACATAAAAGAGTCTGGTAGTCCTAGTTTCAGCTTCATAGCAAACGGGTCACCCCATCTTTGCTCCGCTCCCGTGCCAAAATACACACAGAATGTTTATCACAGTCCCTTGTGGAAAGATTGACAGACTGCTGTCTTAGCATCTAGCATACACTCGCATTAAAGCATTTGGTAGCCATCCGAAGTGCTAACACAAACGGTCCAACATTAGAAATGCAGTTCATCATTGATGGTAGCAGAAGTCACCAACAGATATGCAGTTGCCCATGCGATCAATTTTAATCACATAATGGCACCACCAAAGTTGCGACGACAGGCATCGCACCATTTTCTGAATCTATAATTCACACCACCACGTTGGTCACAGTCGAAAAAACATTCCAAATGAAATCCGCAGCTCACAGTGTCACGCCATGCATTCAACTCAGAAGCTGGGCGATGAAACTCTATCCAGTCTACAAATGGAACAAAAATGCATCGGCCACCGTCCAGCAGAAGCAAAAAATTTGCCTCGGCTCCAAAAACAGTGGCCCGCCTAGCGTCCATTTTGACCGGACTTCTTTCTATGAGTACTACATATAAGAGTAGCTAGTTCTACCTGTTCTGAGTTAACTTTGTCAGACATTATTCATCCACTGTATAACAGTTTTACTACAAATTCCCTGTTAGGGGTGAATGTTAGGTGGTGTATACACAACATGTAAACATGACATCCCACACTGTGCCACTAGCTTCAGGTAGAGGGGCACCTAGGATACTAGCCTTATCCTGGGAAGCTACTTGAAAACTTATTGTTATGAATGTTATGGCAGGCAGACCAGGCCTTGGTTGGTAATTGATCGAGAAGCGAAGCTCTGAAAGGCAGATAGACAGAGCACTGCTTTTCTGATCTGGCAACTTCTGCATTTTGTTCTACTGGTGTAACCTGTTCCCTGGAGTAAACAAGGTAATCAAGAGCATGTTGCATGGACAACATATGATCTCTTTAATACTGTCCAGGGTTAGTACCACAGAGAGGAGGAACTTTATGCTTGGCCTTAACTGGTCTGTCACCCAATGGGCTGAGATGCCCATGCTTCCCTATAACACCACCTCCTGGAAAGATTAAAAGGTGAAACAATAACAACAACAACACTCAGCCACTGTTGGGGAAAGGGGGGAGGGGGGGGGGGGGGGTTGGTTAATCCCAGACCCCTGTCTTAGCTGGCAAGAACACTAACCACTCTGCCAACATGTCTGACAACTGACAGTTTTAATCTATAATATTTTGTGTTTCTTTCCCATGTGGCTGCAGGTTATTCTTAAATTACCCTTCCCTTATGTCACACTTTGCCCATTCCAGGACTGCAGTCGACATTACCAAGACCTCAAATTTTGAATCCTATATGTAAAATCCAGACAAGGTTACACACACCCTTTCCCCCTTCCACCTTTACCTAGAGGTTACAAAGTAACCTGAATTCTGGATCAGACAGAGAGTCCTTCTTATGTTGCTGTAAGGTTACTCTTAAATTACCCTTCCCTAAATGAATGCCTGTCACTCTTAAATGTCTCTAATCACATGGCTGCATGTCACTGCAGTTAAATTACTCATTTCTAAGTGGTTGCATGTTACTGCAGACTGAATAACATGAAGAGGACTTGCACTAAGCTGCAGGAGATGGCAGATAATAAGAAGGCTCTTCTTTCGAAGTCGGAGTGCATCTGCCGGGGAGGCAAGGAACCAACAGTCTGCACGCAAATGAGATCTGTCAAACGGATGCACGCGCAACACTCAGGTTCTGAAACCAGGACTGCAGTCCAGAAGTGGACAAACACTCAGAACTTTCCACCTGAGTTTACAGCCAGTGAACGCGAAGAAGAAGAAGATAAGAAGGCTGACCAAGAACTGGCTGAGGGCCTATGCTCCATGAGGGATAAAGGGCAGAATATGAAACGAACATAAAAGCACATACCCCTGGCGTAATTCCTCAAACACTGATTTCACACTCTTGAACGATCGGTCAATTTCATGATCCAGTAAATGTCGCAGGCGCTCCAGTGATGTTGTCTGCCTATGAAGATCTTTGATGGCTTTCTCTAGGCCTGAAATACAGCAACAGATTATATTTAGAATTGATTCTTTCATTCAAGCACTTTTCTCACTCCTCATCGACCCAAAAAGATATAAAGAAAGAAAGAAAGAGAGAGAGGGAGACAGAAGTGAGAGAACAAATAAATCCATTTAGACATTATTCAGGCAGCAGAGGTAGCACAGTAGTTAGCATTTCTGCCTGCTGGTCGATTGGTAATAGATTTGTAAAAAGTGACCTAGTTCAGCCTGACAGGTAGGTAAGAAATCAACAGTCTGCAAACAAATAAGCAAGATCTGTGAAACAGATGTGCATGCAAAACTCCAGTTCTGTCCAGAAGTGGACAAATATCCAGAACTTTTCACCAAAGTTTATAGCAGGTGCATTCAAAGAAGAAGAAGTAGAACCATTCACACATTTCAGGATATGATATTTTAGGCAGGATGGCCTGCTTCCTCTTCACTGACCCCCAACCCAACCACCTCCACCCAGCTAAACTAGTCCAGAAAAAAGAAATCTAGCTACCTCTGAAGATTGAACAAGGACCACTGCCGCAGCAAAGCAAGAGCACGCTAATCACACAAGGAGGGTCAAAGACAGAAACAAGGGTGGAAACAACGTAAGATCCTTCATCAAGCCACAAAGAAAAGAGTGACATGTTTATAGTATAGACATTATATGTGTCAGTTCCAACCTTGCTGTGGTTTGCCTCGATGTCCTTCTCCCCCACCGCTGCTGCTGCTTTCATGTGCTGGCCTCTCACCACTGGAGATAAGACGGTGCTCTTGCTGAGAGTGGTGTGCATCTAGAATATCAACACAACAGCGTCAAATAACACCTACAACAAAATATACATTTGGTATGGTTTCTAAAATGGTGTTGCAGCAGCACAGTTATTAGACACTTGCCTTCTTGCCCAAGGAAGGGGGGGGGGGGGGGGGGGGTTCAAATCTACGGTGAAGTGAGTTTTTATAACTGATCAGGGCTCTCAGGTCAACATAGCCTAAAGTGGATACAGGGACATATCCTGAGAAGTAAAGGTAGCAGAGTCAAGACGACCATATTATTCATCAAAAGATAAGAGTCTAACACCATATATTCATCAAGCCAAAAGTGTGAAAGGAATCCTTTACTTGGTTTTGTCAAAGATCACTGCCATTCTTTTTCTCCGGTCCATCTTCAAACAGAGTAAGATACCTGATCTAAAACACACTAATATCTTTATAGATTTGAACATAAAAGATTGGATTTTGCAGCTACAGTTTTACTCAGGCAGCCAGTCTCACATCACCCCCTTCTCAGTTGGTGGCTCTTATGGCACATACATGGTGGGTTTGTTGTTACTATTCTTTAATTCCCTGTACTCTTTCATTTCCAGAAAGTTCTGCAAACTCTTCTTCTTCTTTGTTCACCGGCTGTAAGCTACTGAGGAAAGTCCTGGTTGTTCGTCCATTTTGACTTTGGCTTTGTGCCAGAGCTTGAGTTTTGTGTGTGCATCCATTTTACTGGCTTATTTATGTGCAGTTGGTTGTTCCTTGTCGCTCGGGCAGATGCACTCCAACTTAGTTGACTCCTTCAACATGCTTGTTGGGGAGGCAGTGGGTCTATTCCTGTTTTCCCCACAATGGGGCCCTGGAATTCTGCAAACAAACACTGTTCTTATTACAAGTCAGTCAGTCTATGATTAAATCATTCAAGAGTGCCCAGCTTACAGAGATCTGCCTAAACTCACATGACCAAAGACTGCTGAACTGCAGCAGAAGTCCTGGAGTCCCCCACACTGATCAGATAAGAGGACAGACTTCCATCTGCCAACAGAGCTGCATACGGAATACCCAGTGAGATCAACATTAAGACTTCATCTTCTGCACTGGCCCTTCAAATGGTGAATAGCATGTGTGCTGTGGTTTAAAACAAGGCTGCATTATGGGCTCTAGGGAGAGTTAAAGTCAGACCCTGGCCAGAATTACCAGCTATAAAGATTCACACTGAGGAACCACCTTCTTCCTGGTCTCTACCTGCACACGAGTGCAGGTCACACAGAGCTGCTGCAGCTGTTACAAGTACCCTAACTGTAACTTCCTTTGGAGCTTGAACAGGGTTATCTAGATTCTGCCATCCAGATTGAGATTTTAAAAACAAATCTCAGGGTTTTAAACCTTCATGTATCAGATCAAAGGAAATAAACTGATTGATCAAGCTTACCCCCACTTCTTCTGCCCCTGTTGTGTGGCTGTCGCTGTGGTAGAGGTTCAGATGATAGAGCTGCCGCCACCCCAGCTGTTAGTACAAGTGATGCTGGAGGTGGGACGTGTGAAGGTCCAGAGTCAAAAACCTCCACTGTGTGTGCGGGTAACGGCTTACTGATGGTGGCGGTCTCAGTGTTTGGTTCAGCTATAACTATCAGAAACATACAAAAACATTATTAGTATAGAAAATAAACACATTAGCAAATATTTATCAACAACGGAAATTAATCAATTACTAAAAATCCATCAACAGAATACATCCATCAACAGAATACATGAGACATAAGAATCAAAACATGAATGGCTAATAACTTACTAACATATGAAATAATTCATAAATTAATTACATGAAAAAAGTAATCAATATGTTAGGGATGCAAAAAATATAACAAATTAGTAATGAAATAAAAATTTAAGAAACATAGCCAAAATATTACTTTTAAAAATATTATAAAATAAGAAATATACTAACACATGAAATACAATGAATTATTAATATACCTCAGTGTGGATTCCGGCACCTGATACAGAAGGCAACTAATTAGGGGTATTTTTTCAAAGTCAGAGTGCATCTGCCTGACAGGCAAGGAACCAACAGTCTGCATACAAATAAGCCAGATCTGTAAAACAGATGTGCACGCAAAACTTAAGTTCTGCAAAAAGACGAAAGTCCAGAAGTGGACGAACAACTAAAGACTTTTCTTTGGGGTTTATAGCAGGCAAACTCAAAGAAGAAGAAGATTAATATTTAAAAAAACACAAATAAATCACTAACAGAGACAAATTTGCATTTTTTCCTGCACCTCCAAAGGCAACACATTCTCAACCACCTTATTCAAAGCATTTTTTTTTTTTGTAGCATGGTTCATGAATAGTTAGATTGTTTAACTGAAGTTTTTTATGGGATATGGTAGCCAATATGCCTACAATTGCTTATGTCTCGAATGGCATGCAAGTAAAGCTACTTGTTACTATTCTTGGCTTCTATTACTGGGACTGTTAACATATGGGCAAAAGAATCACCTATCAATTATGAGGATGCTATCAACGGGATCTAGCGGCGACATAAATGATTACATTCAAGAAGAACAATCTCTATTACCTTTAGAAACATCTCCATTAGGCAAATGTGAAATTCCATGAGCAGATGGTACATCTTTCTCACTTATGTTCGTAGATAACAAAGAAGATGCTGGCTTCTCAATGACTTTGTCTCCAGTAGCTTTCTTTTTATTCTTGCGTCTTTTATTAGGCTGCTGTAAAGAAACAATTAAAATAAAATCCACAAGTGAATATGTTAAAAATAAATCAGTATGAGGCATCAATAAATGTGAATGGACTGGAAATTAAATGGAATTCACTGCCTCTGGCCTTCAGAAAAATGTATACAGTGACTCCTACTTGAGCCCAGGACCTCATCAGCAGGCGCCTACTAAGGGAAATTACGCATCATAATGGCTTTCAATAATTTATTTTCACACAAAAAAACCCATCTAAATGCTATTTTTAGTCAATATAATCATATCCAGGGTATCAAAAACACTGCACAGTCACAATCAGAACTACTTCTATCAATCAGGCTTTTCTGGGACAAGTCACTGCAGCTGTGCCAGTTTAGCAGCATTTATGGGTAATCACTATACACTGAAGTGTCGGATTTAGCAGCCTCTCTGGGTCAAAGGGTTAACTCTCTTTGGAGCACAGGCCCTCAGCAAGTCCCACTAAGCCCTCCTATCCTTTTACAAGGTATCCATCTCTGATTTATTGTCTTGGTGTAATTATCCCCCCCCCCCCCCCCCCCCCCCACCCCCCCCCCCCCCCCCCCCCCCCCCCCCCCCCCCCCCCCCCCCCCCCCCCCCCCCCCCCCCACTGCTTCACCCAGTGGATCTTGGTATTCAGGATCACATCTATTGATAATATTCCTGATACTGAGACTATCCAGAATAATTACTCTGGGTCTTTCTCTGCCGCTTCTACTGCCGATCCACTGATCTCTAGAGCCCTATTTTCACCACATAATCAGACAGCATTTGTGTTTTATTAGTGCCAAAGTTTTTCTATACAATCATTGTTGGTTACCAAGCTGGCAAGGGTTATCAGAAATTACATCGTACTGTCTCTAAGTTCTCCATAATTTGTTTATTCCAAGTTTCTCTGATATGACAGAAAGAAACAAAGAAACAAGGAAAGAAAGAAAAAGAAAATGTAATATTAAAGCTGAACCCAAAGACTGCTGTCAGCACCAGTTTGTGAGCTTGATTTATGAAATTCTCTGGCAATTTAAACAGCAGCCACAGTAACATAATGGCTAGCATGCCTGCTCTCCAGCTCAGTGGCAGTAGGTTCAAATCCCCCACTGAGACATTTTTATTTCAACATGTGGTCAGAATGGAACAAAACCAGCCAGCATCTAGAGAGTACGACATGAGAACAGCAGACTACAAAGCAAGAGGCAGATAAATTTAAAAAAAGTTATGGGTGGAGGCAGTAAAAAAGATACTACAGAAATGCAATATGACATCAACAGAAGCTAGATAACTAGCAAAAGACAGGGATCTACATTTAACTCCTCTCTGTGATGTTTACAGCAAAAGCAGTATAAAAACAAAAAAGATCCTAAATGTGCTTAAATGGTTTCTAAGATATAGGACTAGCCCAATAAACTTTAAGACATGGACACAGGTCGTTTGCTTTCTTTACTCACTGACAGTCAAACACATGATATGTATGGTAAAACAAATCAATATCACTTGCAAAGAAGAAATGTTTCTATGTTAAATGTTGAATGTTGAATCAAGAATCGACATCACAGTCCTCTGGACACTCCCTTAAGTGCTCAGCCCAAATCTTCAGCAGCAAGTGAAGAGTTTCAATTCTGATGGTACCAGTAACTGTCTGATTGTAAATCCGTCGCATCCTTCCCCTGAGTGTTGAGCGTCGGCCAGATCCCCTGGTAACTCCTCACAGCTCCATTCTCCTTAGACTGTAATGACCTATCTGCGCCTCTGCACTGTTTACTCGCTTCCAAAGGGCCCTCTCTATATCTAACTTGTCATACATCAATTCACTACCAAGTGTCTAAAGATTTGATACTCTGCTAGATATAAACAGTACTACTGACAAGGCACACACATACACACACACAAACACACAACCTTTACCCACACAGGACGGTGGGTTTACAACAGGCTGCTGTAGCCACTATGGGTGCTCTAATTTAACTTCTTTGGACGCTGAACTAGGTATCTGGGATTTGCCTTATTGGCTTGCTATCCACATTGAGATTTATGTGATCTCAAGGTGGTGAAACATTTAGGTAGCAGCCCAGAGGGGGGAAATGGAATATGCCACACTCAACATACCTTGGATCCTGTGAGGTTCCACTCTCCTAAAGCCTCTTTAGCACCATCTGCAACAATAACAATTTATCAACAGGTTATTGATCACCATCAGGTATTCCAGTTCTCGGGCTAGTTGTGAAGTTTCTTGAACATGTATATACAGTGTACTGTAGTAGAGCATAGGCAATGGCAACCGTTTTTCTCAAGGAAATGCCTCTGCATCAATTGAAGTGGCAGACATTTTGTTATCTGTCCACCCATACTTTTTCTCATTACCCTGCAAGATTTTTCTAGAATTTCTCTTACTAATGTAAAGTGAAAATCAGCAACCACAGTGTTTTCCCCCAAAAAAAACTTAATTTTAGGAATGTGCATTTAAACTGAGAAACCTAAAATGTCAAAAAAGCTTTAGTACCATTTTATAGTGTTTTTTAATGAACTCAACTGAGAAGCAGGTCAGTACGATCTACTGAACACATGCATTTGTTGTAATCTACTACACACTTTGGCTTTACAACATTTAACCCAGTTTTCCAGTCTACTTTTTCTGTAATTTTTACAATGAAAGGCAATCACCTTTCTAAAATTAATTTGTAAAATGTAATATCTGTAAACTTTCTGAAAGGCTTTTATCTTTCTAATAGTAACTTCAACAATAAAAGCTATCACCTTTCTAAAAGTAATTTTAAAGATGAAGAATCATAGCCAGCAAGTTCAACTATGAAAGATTTGTCACCCTACCTAAGGTTATTTTTAACAATGAAAGATTTTCACCATTTTAAAAGTAATGTAAATAAAATTTTAAAAAATATTGTCACCTTCCAGATATGCTTGTATTGCTGTTTCAACACTGTAATCATAATACTGCAGGACCATGTGAACCTCGTTGTTGCCTTTCCCTGGTACCACCTCCCTTACCGCTTGTACCTGGTTACACAAATCATGTTACATTAACTATCAAATGATGATAAAATCAATCAAGACTCACTGCTCTCTAATAAACATGTTGTTTTAGGGTTGTGCTGAAATTAGATATCATAGCCTAGCTTTAAACCACAATACAACATGTCAACTGCCATTCTAAGCGCAAACAAAATAAAGAAGAAGTATGCTGTATCTTTTCCTTTTTCTTCCCCGAGTTCACCAGCTGTAAAGTCCAGTGGAAAGTTCTTCTTGTGCATCTACTTGAGTTTTGCATGCAAATTCATTTTACAGATTGTTTGCACTCCGACTTCGAAGAAAGTATCTCTAATTAGTTGAATTTTATGACATGCTTGTAAAGGGAGCAGTGGTTCTACTTTTTTTTTTTTTGAGCGCCCACAATGGGGCCCCGGAACCCACACAGGGAGCTGTATCTTTAAATTTTTGTGACTGTTATTCCCTGCTGAAGTATACATGTGACATCAACTCATACCAGGCCCTCTTCTGTCCTCTCCTGCAGCTTCATCCACACATAATTCATCTCTCTAATTCTATTTTTCATGTATTTTTAGCTATCCCCCCACTTTTTGTAGTGCATAACAGAATATGGATTTTCTAGTGATCAGATTAATTGGTTTTTCTCAATGCGTGCCCTATCAATATGTGCCAGTATCTTTTTCTCACCTTCTAATTCCCCAGAATTTGTTTTGTTAAATCCCTACTTAGCACTGCATTAGTGATTCTGTGACAACATTTTAGTTCTACTCTGTCCTATTTAGGGGTAATAAATACTTCCTTCACTGAAGTTCAACAAAAATACTTTGGGCTGCTTTTACAATGCCTGATCATTCTGCTATTTGTGGCATCTATAAAAGCCCCAACAAACTTTCTCTAAACATTGTACACACTAAAGTGTAGATATGCCAGGTTACTCAATCTGAATCTTGGTATGCGGATTTTAGAGTTAACATTCCCCCGTGTGGGTTCCGGGGCCCTATTGTAGGGAAAACAAGAATAGACCCACTGCCTCCCCAAAAGCATGTCGTAAGAGTCGACTAACTGGGGAGCTTCCTTTGAAGTCGGAGTGCATCTGCCTGAGAGGCAAGGAACCAGCAGTCTGCATTCAATTGAATCAGATCTGTAAAACTGATGCACACGCAACACTCAGGTTCTGGAGCAGGACTGCAGTCCAGAAGTGGACGAACAACCAGAACTTTACGCCAGAGTGTACAGCTGGTGAACACGAAGAAGAAGAAGAGTTAACATTGTGACTAGAAATAAATGTATTTTTGAGAAACATATGCTGTTGCTTCACCTTGCCTTCCACACTTGAAGATTTATGCAGATCAGTGTAAATGGCAAATATTTTCTTCTTTAATTGTTTATTCTTCTAAATAAGCAAACCCCTTGAATTCTTCTTTGTGTTCACAAGGTGTAAACTCCAGCAGAAAGTTCTGGTTGCTCATCCACTTTGAGACTTTGGTCTTGTTCTACAACTTGAGTGTTGTGTGTAAATCTATTGTACAGATCTGACCTAATTACACGCAGACTTCTGGTTCCTTGCCTCGTAGGCAGGTGCACTCCAAATAAAACACCCCTAATTAGTCGCCTTTGATAATATGCTCGTTAGGGGGCAGTGGGCCTTCTCTCCCCCCCCCCCCCCCAACTAAACAGGTAAAGCCCCTAATAAACCTGGGCTAAATTATCCTATCTCTTGCCATCAAGCCAAGTACCCCCGCCCCATCCTCCCATCTAATAAGCCTCAGACTCTAATTCTCTTCTCAGAGCATTAATTATGCCTGCCCTGTCCATATTTTTTCTCCACTTACCATCGCAGACACAGCCAGTCTGCTGGCTCTTTTACTTCCTCTTTCCCAGGTATTTTTGTGTGTTTACAGCCAAGATATTTAAGTGAGGCAGAATTTCAAGATGCTGTCAACCCATTCTTGTTGGAATTTGCCAGTTTTGTACTTTTAAGAATCCTATATACTACCACTACTACTGTATGCCTGTGAATCATGGACAGTAAATTTTAAAAAGTAAATGAAAATGGAAAAAAAAAAGATTTGATTTATAAAAAGAATGCTAATAATCCCACAGATGGGTAAGAGTACTAGTTAGTTATTAGTCACAATTCCAACTTCATGACAACAGGCCACCCTCATAGTTGCTCTGTTCATGTGTTAGCAAAAACCACACAAAGTGCTAATCCGTGCTCTATGTGAAATGTGTAACAGGAAGTAGTCCTGGCATGACCAGCAACACATACATGCCACACAAAACAAGACCAGCAACACATAAATGCCACACAAAACAAGAACAGCAACACATACATGCCACACAAAACAAGAACAGCAACACATACATGCCACACAAAACAAGAACAGCAACACATACATGCCACACAAAACAAGAACAGCAACACATACATGCCACACAAAACAAGACCAGCAACACATAAATGCCACACAAAACAAGAACAGCAACACATACATGCCACACAAAACAAGACCAGCAACACATAAATGCCACACAAAACAAGACCAGCAACACATACATGCCACACAAAACAAGACCAGCAACACATACATGCCACACAAAACAAGAACAGCAACACATACATGCCACACAAAACAAGACCAGCAACACATAAATGCCACACAAAACAAGACCAGCAACACATACATGTCACACAAAACAAGACCAGCAACACATACATGTCACACAAAACAAGACCAGCAACACATACATGTCACACAAAACAAGACCAGCAACACATACATGTCACACAAAACAAGAACAGCAACACATACATGCCACACAAAACAAGACCAGCAACACATACATGCCACACAAAACAAGAACAGCAACACATACATGCCACACAAAACAAGACCAGCAACACATACATGTCACACAAAACAAGAACAGCAACACATACATGTCACACAAAACAAGAACAGCAACACATAAATGCCACACAAAACAAGACCAGCAACACATACATGTCACACAAAACAAGACCAGCAACACATACATGCCACACAAAACAATCTCCAACAGAGCGTATCAATTCCTGTGATGCTAGTTTCCTAGATCATAGAGAAAGGCTTTCATGAAGCTTCACTGTCTTTTTGTATATATTTCTTCATTAACTCTCACATTAGCTCTCACAGTGTGTTCCAGTTGTTCTTTTCTCATTCTTCTTGAGTTGAGTTATGAGTTAGATTATTTTCACAGCACTCTAGACACATCCATAGGCACTCAGATTTCTCTCTCAACATATTCATCAGTGTCATTTCCTATCGGCGTTTCATACTTCTTCTCTTCCTCTAGTGTGAGTTAGGAGGGAAAGAGGTTTGGGAATGGTGCTGGCGGGTGATGTAAAGACCTTCTGTGTGCTTTTTCCAATGTGTTTTAAAAGCTGATCTTCATTTCTTTAAGGCTATTCTTGATGCTGCATGGTCTTCCCCATGGTCTTCCCCTTGCTCTTGTTAATTATGTTTCTCCAGTGGCAAGTAGGAATAAGGCATTATTCTCTCAGATGGATAAACCATCTCATCTGTTGCTCTTTAATGAACTGTATTGCTGGTTTCCTTCCTTGTCTTCTTCTATTTCATTTGATCTCTTCTTGTTACTCTGGTAGCTCTCCAAGACGTCTAACCTTACTTGTTATAATTTTTCTAATTTTGCTAAAAATTTGACTGTTTTGTGTGTGTGCAATAAAGCAACTTTTGCCTGAGCCTCTTTAATTAAAAAAAACACTGAATATTTATTTCAGTCTTCTTTTAACTCTTTTCATCTTCCAGTGTAGTAGTTCATCTTCCAGTGTAGTAGAACCCATTACCCAACCTTCTAAGACCTGTCCATGATGGGCTGGATTTTGCTACATGTTTTCTGTGAGATGAGGTAGCCAGATCCACATTAACCCTCCTTACTTACTTCCTAAGACATACCTGGAGGCGACAGTGTTACGATTAATTTTTTAATTACATGGCCCTGAGAAGACTATATCTAGTTACTTTGGGGTTGTGATACAGTCCCACAAATGCTGATGCTGTGTTTAGTAGGCGTGCATATAAATATATTGACTAACACTAGCATTTACACAGCCTACTTATGACCCCTGTGGCTTTTTTAAAGCCAAATTGACATGAAATTTTTCTGTAAGCTTCAGTGATAAAGGTCACAGGGTTATACAACTGACAGCCCGAGGAGGCACAGCAAGTGGCCTACATATTATTGCCAGTTGTATTATATTAATGATCTTTCTATGTTGGGGTTCGGGCCTCCAGTTACAATACCCGTTTTCAAAATTGTTACCCCTGAGAAATTTTTGTTGAATAGCCCTGGCCTAGGGAATGTTCAATTAAAAGCATCACTCTGTGTTAATTGATTACCTTCCAGCATATATTTGTTTTTGTTAACAGATTACCCCCTTCATTTATTATATTATACATTGAGAAAAAAAATCACAGTGTAGAAAATTAGATAAATATTTTTGTTTTAAACATTTTTTTATCACCTGGGTAAAATGGTTGTTTCGGAATGATTTTTTTTTTTTTGCTTTTCCACAGGTTCATGACCCATTTTTTAAAAAGCTTTATAAGGCGAAAAGGTAAAAAATGAGAAAAAAGTTAATCTAAATTAGAAGGAAGGTAAACTGATAAGTTTCTGAATAAAATACAATCACAAACAATGAAATAGATGTTGTGGTGAAAATGCCTCCATCAGCATACAATAGAAATGGACAATGATACAATTACACAAAAGGTAAAGGACCCCTTCCACGCCTTTAGGCGTATAGGGCATATAGGGCTAGACCTATATTTTTTTTTTTATAGACCAACGGCACAAGATGGGTGATGTGGTCAGCATCACGCTGGTCGCCTCTACTTCCCGGGATTGCACCCGGTACCCACTCAAGGCTGGGTCGACCTGGGAGCCAAGGTCATTTTTGAAGAAAAGTCCGTCTCCACCAGGGAGCGAACCCACGACCTTCCGATCCGCGGCGAGCGTCTAGCCGCTCGACCTCGGCGACATATATAAAATAACTTTTCAGTATAGCCTGACACAATCTCCAAGGTTACATCCTTTCTGCTCGTAATATTCTTTTATTATATTACAGGCCTCGCCCGTGTGTCACCGAGGCCCTCACGGGAAGCAAAGAATAGTGACACTGCACCCTACCAGGCATGTCGTAAGAGGCGACTAAGGGTAGGGTTGGGCTCGAGGTTGGCTACCTCATCCTGTAAAAACCATAGCCACAAAAACCAAACAACCATGGATAAGTCAAAAAGAGAAGCAAATAAAATCCAGCCAACCAAGATGAGGGAAGGCTCTTCAAATAGAAGAAGTATGACACGGTGTGAAGAAAGCCGTAAGGAGTCCGGATCGTTGACGTACCTCCTCTCAGCTAGGAAAACCTCCAGAATTGGCACCTGGAATGTTAGAACTCTCTATGATATAGGGAGAACAATGGAAGTAGCAAAGGAAATGAAACATTATAGAATTAGTATTTTAGGGTTATGTGAAACTAGATGGACTGGGGCAGGGAAAAGTATTCTAAGTTCAGGAGAAACTATTTTGTTCTCAGGACACACAGAGTGAAGGAGTGGCCCTGATGCTATCAAAAGAAGCAGACAGGGCACTAATAGAATGGGAAGCTGTGAGTCCCAGAATAATAAGAGCATCTTTTAGAACAGTTAAACAGAAGGTGAACATGTCGGTAATACAGTGTTATGCACCAACAAATGATAAAGATGCATCTGTTAAGGAAAAATTTTACATGCAGCTTTAAAATATAATAAATAATGAAAGAAAGGGCAACTTAAAAATTATGATGGGTGACTTGAATGCTAAGATAGGATCAGACAACACAGGTTATGAAGAAATTATGGGGAGACATGGTCTAGGAGTAATGAATGAAAATGGAGAATTGTTCACAAATTTTTGTGCAGGTAACCAGTATTTTATTGGTGGAAGTTTTTTTTCCTATAAAAGTATACACAAGGCAACATGGGAATCACCAGACCATAAGACAACTAATCAAATTGACCATATATGTATTAACAAAAAGTTTAGATCATCCCTTTACGATGTTAGGGCTTTCAGAGGTGCCGATGTATTTACTGACCATTTCCTGGTGGTAAGTAAAATCAAGTTGAAACTAAAACAATATATAACATCTTATAATCAAAGAAACCAATATAATGTAGGCTTTCTCAGAGATAAAGAAATTAAGGAACAGTTCTCAGTTACGGTCTCTAATAAGTACCAGGTGTTGCAGCAGTTAGCTGAAGATGACAACACAGAAGTCTGCTGGGATCAGATCAAAGGAATCTGGAATGAATCTTGCGTAGAAGTTCTTGGCAAGAAAGAAAGGAAACATAAAGCATGGATAACACCAGAAACCATTAAACTGATTGAAGATAGGAAAAGTGAAAAGGCAGAATTAAACAATAGCAAAACTAGAGCTGCTAAAGCTAGAGCTCAGGAGAAATACATAGAAGCCAACAAGGAAGTTAGGAGGCATATAAGGGCAGATAAAGTGAAATATCTAAATGATCTAGCACAAGAAGCAGAGACAGCAGCAGCAAAAGGAAACCTCAGAGAACTTTACAGTAACACAAGAAAATTAGTAGGTAAATATATTCAGCCAACTGGATCAATCAAAAATAGTCAAGGAAAGGTACTTACTAACACTAAAGATCAAATGGACAGATGGGTTGAATATTTTGAAATGCTTCTAAATAGACCAGGCCCAGAGGTTCCCCCAGATATCCAGCCTTTAGAAATGGAACTGGATATCAACTGTGAGATACCATCCAAAGAGAAAATTAGAAAAGCTATAAATCTTCTCAAGGAAGGAAAGGCGACAGGCCCAGACGGTATTCCAGCTGAAGCCCTCAGGACCAACATAAACACATCAACAGAATTGCTACATAGATTATTCAGTAAAGACTGGGAGACCGAAAAAATACCAGCAGACTGGAGAGAAGGATATCTTGTGAAACTGCCCAAAAAAGGTGATCTACAGGAGTGTGAAAACTATAGAGGAATTATGTTGCTGTCAGTTCCTGGAAAAATATTAAGTAGAATTATTTTGGAAAGATTAAAAGATGCTATTGATAAAATGCTAAGAGATGAGCAGGCAGGTTTTCGGTCAAACAGATCCTGTACTGATCTGATAGCCATATTACATATTATAATAGAGCAAAGCATTGAACTGAACTCACCACTTTACATTGGATTTATAGACTATGAAAAAGCATTTGACAGTATAGATAGGGAATTCTCTGGAAATTGATGGGGCACTATGGAATCCCACAGAAAATTATCAACTTAGTAAAGGCAACATATAAAGACATGAAATGTCGAGTTCTTCATGAGGGAAAGCTAACAGATGCATTTGAAATAAAAAAAAGGTGTGCGACAGGGATGTCTTTTGTCGCCTCTCTTATTTTTACTGGCTCTAGACTGGACTATGAAAACAGTAACTGCTAACACCAAGAATGGAATTCAGTGGACCCCTACAAAACAGCTTGATGATCTGGACTTCGCTGATGATATTGCTCTTCTGTCCCATTCACGGAATCAGATGCAAGATAAATTAAATATACTTAATGCGAGATCACAGCAGCTTGGTCTGAAAATCCATAAAGGAAAGACAAAGATAATGAGAATAAATCAGGCAAATAGTAATGTGGTTTCTCTTAATGGCACCCCACTCCAAGACATGGAGTCGTACACCTATTTAGGCAGTAATGTAGATAAAGATGGAGGAACTGATAGAGATATTAAAATAAGAATACAAAAGGCAAGAGGGGCTTTCATAGCACTAGGGAATTTGTGGAGGTCAAAAGAAATTAAAAGAAATACTAAACTAAAAATTTTTAATTCTAATGTCAAATCAGTACTACTGTATGGGGCGGAAACATGGAGAACAACCAAGGCAATTACTAATAAATTACAGACATTCATTAACTGGTGCCTGTGCAGAATAAAGGGAATAAAATGGTATGATAGAATAACTAATGTAGAACTTTGGGAGAGAACTAAACAGGCTCCAGTGGATCAGGAAGTGAGGAAAAGACGCTGGCGTTGGATAGGGCACACACTGAGAAAACAGGAAAACAGCATTACTAGAATGTCTTTGCATTGGAACCCACAGGGGCATAGGAATAAAGGAAGGCCAAAAAACACATGGAGAAGAGAGCTGGAGAACGAGGTTAGAAAGATTGGTAGGACATGGGGAGAGCTCCATGCAATGGCGAAGGATAGAACGACTTGGCATGAGTTGGTTGAGGGGATATGCTCCATTGGGGGATAGAAAGGCAGAAGAAGAAGAAGAAGATATTACAGGCCTCAATGTCTTGTAAACAACCTTTTCAAGTACCTATGGTATTTCCGTTTACATCTTTTATACCAGTCTGCATGATAATATGGAAGGTACAGTGCACATTTAAAGACTTACAGATAGAACTTACCTTTTCCTTAATGCTTTGCTGGGATGCTCCTGCCATAACTGTCTTAGTCCTTGCATCAAAGTGAATACACCCAGATGCCTCTGTTGAGAATATGTGTAATGAAGGTACTTTACAACAGATATCTCAATGGTCTTTACGGCAGGAGTTTTATTTACATAATTAATGAAAAGGAAGCCATAAATGTGTTGAGTATAGGAGGTTGACTGTATTAATTCAATGACTGATGCCTGAAGTGAATGTTACTTCTGCCCTTTATCCCCCACTGGAGCACGGACCCTCAATCAACTCAGGCCAAGTCATCCTATTCTTTGCTATTGCATGCAGCTCACCCCACGTTTTCTCCATCTTTTAACTTCACTCATTAATTCCCTTCTCTATGTGTTTGTGGTCTATCTTTTTTCCCTATGCCCTTGTGGGTTCCAGTTTAAAGCCAATCTAGTTGTTTGTTCTCACGTTTTCTCAATGGATGTTCTATCCAACGCCAGCACCTATTTTTTTAAATTTTTTTTACTAATGTTACTTGGGTACCTGGTATCATAAATGTATTTTTCGAGTACAAGCAACAGAAAACACATAAGTGTCAGAGATCCAAAAACCATTATAATGAGAATGTGTGATTTATTAAGCAGCAATGCGCTACTGGATCAGAGGTCATGTGTTGAAACCCTACCAAGGTGAGCATACTGAACAAACTGACAAAGGCTCCCAGACTAATCCAGCCCAAAACTGGTACCAGTAAATGTTCGGGAAATTAAAGGGAACTGCTTGATGCAGAGGTGCAGAACCACCTGATGCTGAATGAGGAGTCATACTGGTCAAGACCTATCTACACTTGCCTGTGGTCATCCTATAAATAAACAATTAAGAAAAGGAGGTGACATCTGGAGGTAACAGGTTTGATTCCCAGCACAATAACTACAGCTTTCAATTTTTATGTTGTCTAGTGTGTCCTTCTATCATCCTACTTCTTTCTATGAGCGCCAATCAATACATTGTTTGTTTATATATGTGGTCATCCTAGAAACAGGTTCTAAACCAGCAGCCTGGCCAATGGAGATAAAATCAATGTTTCATTTGAAGTTAGAATGCTTCTACCTGAGAGGCAAGGAGCCAATAATATGTACACATATAATCCAGATCGGTAAAACAGATGCGCACACAACTCTCAAGTTCTGGAACAAGTTGAACAACCTGGACTTTCAAATGAATGTAAAGAAGAAGAAGAAAGGTGACTGCTATGATAATGACCACATCGTCCACTAAGTGCCAATTAATCTAAACATCTGGGGCTAGTACTGTTTAGCCAGCACACTCAAGGTGCGGAAATGGGCCCACATATGTACAAGGTTTCTGGGACCATTGGGGGGAAGGGGGGGGGGGGAGGGGGGAGTAGACCCACTACTCCCCTAATAAGCATGTCCTAAAAGAGGTGTTTTCTTCTAAGTTGGAGTACATCTGCCTGAGTGGTGAGGTACTGACAGTGTGCACACAAATATGCCAGATCAGTAAAACGGATGTGCATGCAAAACTCAAGTTCTATATCAATATTAAAGTCCAGAAGTGGATGAACAACTAGAACTTTCCGCTGGAGTTTACAGCCAGTGAACGCTAAGAAAAAAAAGAGATCCAAATTTCTTATCTGAAAAGTGACACGTTGCAGCACCAGGTATTAAGTGATTCATGTGCGGTCCTAGTAGGGTGGGCTTTAACTTCACTCACAGATCCAAGGTGACTGAGACTACTCTGAAGTACAACTGGAAAAAGTACAAGAGTCATAAATGTATGAAAACTCACAAGGAAAGGCTAATATCCTGAAACTAAATCTGGCAAACAGTAAACCAGTTTGCACCTTAATCTGGGCGGCCAGAAAAGCGAGAAGTAGAATCTTACATCATCTGATGCATTAAAAGTAGAAGTGAAGAAGAAGAATCTGTTAACCTTTTCTATTTTATAACTCTTACATAATGGGCATATTGTTAATGATATTTCAGATAATAGATAGGTTACGTAACTATACTTTTGTTGACCCATAGTCTGGTCACATTTTATAGGTTACATATTCATGTTAACCTGTCTGAACAAATCTGGTTATACAACAGATATAGTTCAAGAAAAATAACTGTACATTATTTTATTATAGTGGGGTTTTTTTGGGGGGAGGGGGGGTGTGTGGGGGGGGGGGGTCTAAGCTAAATAACAAGGTCTTTTTAGAGTTTTAGAAATCACGTAAATTTCAAATTCCATCCTAACAGTAAGAATAAGATCAAACTTTGATTTAAAGGCGATTTTTAAAAAAAATATTCAAAACAAATTTAGTATGCCACGTATACCTGGGAAACAAAACCTTGTCTATTTATACAATCTACTTTAAAACACGGGAAAAAAGCTTACTTTCTAGAAAATAGGATTTATTTAGTCTCATGGTATCCATTCATTTATTATCTATGGATCTTTTTCATCTATTTAATTTACCTCGTCAAATTCTAAACACAATTAGTTTGTTTTATTTACAGAAAGCATTAACATGACATCTCCGATTCATAATAGTTCTACAAAGTCCATAAACCAGTTACTTTCCTTACCAGAAATGAAGAAAGAAACGTTTCGCTGAATTCGCCACAAAAGCAAAAATAACTCGGAAACAGAAACTAGTAGAAACTTTGAAACTGCAACGCAACGCATACATTTTATGATAAACAAAGCTTACAAAGTTATTCAAATCCAGACTGAGTCTGTAAAAACTACGTTAAAGTAAAACAAGCTGTACAAATGGTATACTAATACCCTGTTTAAAAAGTATAAAGTTATAGTCGTTAGATTCACCTGATGTAGAGTTATTTTTGTCTGGCCAATTTTTGAGTTAGGGATCGTCGTCAGGTTATCGTCTGCTGGGGCGGAAGTGGTGGGAGTCGGCGGAGGAACGTGTCGAGTCTTCTGTGCTTCATGTGACCACGCCTATCTATCTATCTATCTATCTATCTATCTATCTATCTATCTATCTATCTATCTATCTATCTATCTATCTATCTATCTATCTATCTATCTATCTATCTATCTATCTATCTATCTATCTATCTATCTATCTATCTATCTATCTATCTATCTATCTATCTATCTATCTATCTATCTATCTATCTATCTATCTATCTATCTATCTATCTATCTATCTATCTATCTATCTATCTATCTATCTATCTATCTATCTATCTATCTATCTATCTATCTATCTATCTATCTATCTATCTATCTATCTATCTATCTATCTATCTATCTATCTATCTATCTATCTATCTATCTATCTATCTATCTATCTATCTATCTATCTATCTATCTATCTATCTATCTATCTATCTATCTATCTATCTATCTATCTATCTATCTATCTATCTATCTATCTATCTATCTATCTATCTATCTATCTTTAAGTGTGCCTCTTTGCTGTGTATGTGTGTCTGCATGTGTGTGTGTGCGATTGGATACATGTAGCTGTGAATATGTGTCTGTGTGTGTGTGTCTCTGTGTTTGTCTGCATGTGTGTGTGTCTCGGTGCATATTTGATGTGACTGTATGTATATCTTCGTTTGTGTCTGTGTGTGTCCCCGTATGTGTTTGTCTTCATGTTTGCCTGTGTATGTTTATGTGTTTTGTCTGCGGGTGTGTCTATGAGGCTGTATGTATGTATCTCTGTGTGTGGGTGTCTGTATGTCTGTCTGCGTGAGTGTATGTGTCAGCTTGTGTCTGTCTGTGCATGTCTATGTGTGTTTCTCTGTGTGTGTTGTGTGTGCCCCTTTGTTGTCTGTATGTGTCTGCATGTCAGAGTATATGTCTGTGCGTGCTGAATATATGTGTCTGCGTGTGTATTTCTATGTGTTTGTATGTGTATGCATTTCTGCGTGTTTGTCTCTGTGGGTGTCAGTATGCGTTTGTCTGCCTGTTTGTCTGTATTTGTGTGTGTGTGTGTTTGACTGCGTGTGTGTCTATGTGGCTGTATGTATGTGTCTGCATGTTTGTCTGCGTGTGTGTGGTGTGTGTGTCAGTGTGTGAGCACGAATGTAAATATGTGTGCTGTGTGTTTATATGTAAGTGTCTGTGTGTGTGTCTGTATTTTTGTCTGAGTGTGTGTGTCTCTGTGGGAGTGTCCGTGTGTGCATGTTTGTGTCTCCATGCATGACTGTATTTATGACTGTATGTGTGTATGCCTGTATGTTTGTATCTATGTATGTATGTTTGTGTGTACGTATGTCTGTGTGTATGTGTTTATGCATGTTTGTATGTATGTGTGTATGTATGTGTAAGTGATTGAATGAGCGTGTGTATGTTGGTGTATGTATGCACGCGCGGGTTTTTGCATGCACTTTACAACTCATGCTTTTGTGTTCTTTTATAATATTCATAATATGCATAACATCATATGATCATAACATGCTTTATTAGCAAAACACAACTGCTGTGCGAAAGATGTTTGACTGGAAGGGCCGAATGTAAGACGGGCCTGCGTTGTCGCGCGCCCACGTGGGTAAATACACTGATATAGTGAGGGTGTGGGTTTGATCCTTAACAATGCCCACCCACGTGAGAAACTGGACTATTATCTAAGCTATGTTGATCCTAGACAGTCCTGGATAGCCAAGAAAACAGCGAGTGGCTCGTTCCATGAAATGAAAGTTGCTGTACTTGTATCCACGGGAGTAGGAGAAGGGATAGATAGATATCAGGATACACCCACTGTGATATTATCTCGATACACAGTTAACCCCTGCGACTGGTCTCCTCTCCTGGCATTGCTTAAAAGCCCCCATCAAGTGATTTAAATATTTGGTAGCTGAAGTAAACTAATATGCACAAAGACACTTGAACCTAAGTACACAATTTACTCAACTATGTTTTAACAACAACAACCATGATTTATTTGAATAAATCGAAATTAAAATGATCTTGTTTAGGCTAGTAGAGTTGAAATGATGTAAATGATGAAATCATAAAGGTATTGGAAAGTAACAACCTTTGGACAGTTCTCGGCTTGAGACCCTGCCTATCTTTTCCAGTTTGTCGTCCTCACTGCTTTCTGCAGGTCGTTACACTCGACGGTCGGCAAATAATGGATGCCTACTAGTCCCTGCCCAATGTGGGAACTGGAGAATGAAGAAACAAGCGCATATTTGTAGTATCTGCTCTAGATGTACACTAAGCATGTATATTATACTAACATCAAGCATGTTTATTTAAATAAAACATTTCATCTCTCCCTCATGCTCACATTCACTCCTGTCCAATTTGGAAGGGCTTATGTCTCACATTCCAACTGTTACATCTTCTGCCTTCCTCTACACGTCCTGTAATGATAGTCAAGTCTTCTACGTCAGGTGCCATCTCTCGTACAGACTCAAAATGACAATCAGTCAGACAGAACCAGTTCTGGAATCTATGCTTGGAACAATCGACGCGCCCAGAAAGCTAACAATATTTCTATGGCGAATCAAATAACAAATCTCGGGGATTTACTCTCCGGGATCAATCTCCGCATTAGCCTCCCGAGAGTTAAACACATTTCAGTGTGTAAGCTGTATGTAATACAGATTCACATTAACCACACGTGAAAAGATTGCCAAAGTTATCTTCACGCTTGTGATTTCAAAAACATGATAGTTCATTAAATTTCAATGGCAACAACAACATTTAGGTTTTACAACATTGAAACACATGTGCACGAAAAAACATTCATGACACTATCAAATAGGATATAAAGCAATGTGACAGTGCCCTACAAGAATGAAGAAATGTCCGCCTAGGAGTACTACAAAGTGATAAAGACACACACTTGAGTAAAAAGACAGTTAGATTTCTATCACAAAATATAGATTTGAATCTAATTTCGATCTTACCTGGAAAAATGAAACCACGATGCCAAAAGTTCTGTCTCAAGCTCAGGTTAAGCCCAACAGATGGCATGTGCTGGACAGGATCTCATTTACCAGACCTAGAGTTCACCCCTTTATAACTTTTATCAAGCTCCTCCTACATTACGCCTAAAATCATTCTCATTCAAGGATGTCACAGCTCCTCCCTTGTGGGTAAGTTTATTCGCTGTCAGTCAGGGCTGTACAACACTTGTTTAAATTCCCACGCTCACATTCTACAGGTTCAATTAAGCTGGTCAAAGCTAATAGGCCAAGTCACACCTCCAGTCTACTTCACCTGTCATCACAATAAAATCAGACTTTGTCAATTCTTCTGCCAACACTTTCAGCTCACTGTGTCAATATTGACGATCTGACCGGCACTCCAGTTTAGGTAACCTCAGGGGGAGATAATGGCAATTAGCCCTTGTTATCTGTTCCTGAAGATCTGGCAGGGGGAATAACTATCTGACACCAACAAATGGTGTGCAAATCTCCAGTCAGTAAGTCTGCTTGGTCAGTCTTATCTCTGTACCTTAACACTTAACATCTGGGAAAATGTTTGATATGACCAACGGTCCAGGAGAATTAAAGGTTTGATGTGGTCGTCTTACTTAGATTAAGGATGTATCCAAATCCCTCTTTTCCTGTATACTTTCAAAATACAAAGAAATAAAAGTAGGTTGAGGAAAGACATTCTGGAGTCACCGAGCGTATAACACAACTGCTGTGCGAAAGATGTTTGACTGGAAGGGCATGTGTTTGTATGTGTATGCATTTCTGCGTGTTTGTCTCTGTGGGTGTCAGTATGCGTTTGTCTGCCTGTTTGTCTGTATTTGTGTGTGTGTGTGTGTTTGACTGCGTGTGTGTCTATGTGGCTGTATGTATGTGTCTGCATGTTTGTCTGCGTGTGTGTGGTGTGTGTGTCAGTGTGTGAGCACGAATGTAAATATGTGTGCTGTGTGTTTATATGTAAGTGTCTGTGTGTGTGTCTGTATTTTTGTCTGAGTGTGTGTGTCTCTGTGGGAGTGTCCGTGTGTGCATGTTTGTGTCTCCATGCATGACTGTATTTATGACTGTATGTGTGTATGCCTGTATGTTTGTATCTATGTATGTATGTTTGTGTGTACGTATGTCTGTGTGTATGTGTTTATGCATGTTTTTATGTATGTGTGTATGTATGTGTAAGTGATTGGGTGAGCGTGTGTATGTTGGTGTATGTATGCACGCGCGGGTTTTTGCATGCACTTTACAACTCATGCTTTTGTGTTCTTTTATAATATTCATAATATGCATAACATCATATGATCCTAACATGCTTTATTAGTAAAACACAACTGCTGTGCGAAAGATGTTTGACTGGAAGGGCCGAATGTAAGACGGGCCTGCGTGCCTAATTTGTGACCCTTTGAAAATAAAGTTCGTTCGTTCGTTCGTTCTATCTATCTATCTATCTATCTATCTATCTATCTATCTATCTATCTATCTATCTATCTATCTATCTATCTATCTATCTATCTATCTATCTATCTATCTATCTATCTATCTATCTATCTATCTATCTATCTATCTATCTATCTATCTATCTATCTATCTATCTATCTATCTATCTATCTATCTATCTATCTATCTATCTATCTATCTATCTATCTATCTATCTATCTATCTATCTATCTATCTATCTATCTATCTATCTATCTATCTATCTGTCTATCTATCTATCTATCTGTCTGTCTGTCTGTCTGTCTGTCTGTCTGTCTGTCTGTCTGTCTGTCTGTCTGTCTGTCTGTCTGTCTGTCTGTCTGCCTGTCTGCCTGTCTGCCTGTCTGCCTGCCTGCCTGCCTGCCTGCCTGCCTGTCTGTCTGTCTATCTGTCTGTCTGTCTGTCTGTCTGCCTGCCTGCCTGCCTGTCTGTCTGTCTGTCTGTCTGTCTGTCTGTCTGTCTGTCTGTCTGTCTGTCTGTCTGTCTGTCTGTCTGTCTGTCTGTCTGTCTGTCTGTCTGTCTGTCTGTCTGTCTGTCTGTCTGTCTGTCTGTCTGTCTGTCTGTCTGTCTGTCTGTCTGTCTGTACTTACAAACTGGTTTCTTCTTTAGGATTCCGTGTCCTTGAGGTTCATTGCTGCAGATATCAAAACTCATCTCTGTAACTGGTCTTCTCTTTCCAGTTGGTAACTGTTTGTAGATCTGCATGTATGTTGCCACTCAGAGATCAAGGACCCCAGAAAATGGGGTTTTAGGCTACCTTCGTCGGCGTCTGTGGCTTAGGCGTTGCGAACGCGCTTCGTAATGTCGGGGTGTCGGGTTCGATCCCTGCTGCGGACAGTTTGTCTTGCGATGGTTTCGACCGTAGTACCGAGAGCCGACCGTCCAGGAACAATGGAAAACTACTGGACGTAGATTTGCCTAGAAAAACCACACTATCCAGAAAGTGCTTGGTTGGTTCTGCAACGTCCTGTAAAAAGTCTACCTCCAGACCCCCCTCCCCTCGCCCGTCATAAAAATAGTCAAAACCATGCATTTCAGGGTTTTTTTTAAGTACTTTTTCTTTTTATACATCTCACATCATTTCAAATATATAATTATTCTTGTGAGGGTTTCGGGGTCCCATTGCGGCGGAAAACAGAATAGACCTAAAGCCTGCCCACTGCATATAGTACAAGTCGACTAATTGGGAGCTTCCTTCCAAGTCAGAGTGCATCTACCTGAGAGGCAAGGAATTAACAGCATGCTTGTAAATGAGTCAGACCTGTGAAACGAATGTTTACGCAACACTCAGTTTCTGGATCATGATTAGAGTCCAGAAGTGAACGAACAACCAGAAATTTCCGCCGGAGTTTACAGCCGATGAATGTGAAGAAGGAGCAGAAGAAGAAGAAAATATATTATTATCGTGTTTAGCAATTTAGTACATCATTTTCATCGTCATTAGTTAAGTAAGCAAACGACACTTTCTCATGCCTTCAGGCGTATTGGGCATATAGGGCTAGACCTATGTTTTATAGACCAATCGGCACTTGGTGGAGGTGTGGTCAACATCACACCGACCGCCTTTACTTCCTAGGATTTTACCTGGTACATATTTATGGCCGGGTCAACGTGGGAGTAAGGGTCGTTTTATCATTTAGTGCACACTTCAGCAAGGCTTATGCCCCTTGATTCCCTTGAAAGATGTATAAGTGGACTGGGTTACGCAGCCCCCCCCCCCCCCCCCCCCGGGCCCCAATATTTTTACCCCCCCCCCCCCAGGCCCCAATATTTACCCCCCCCCCCCCGAGATATAGCCGGACAAACAAATTGAGCAACTGAAGAGAGCTACATGAGATGCTAAAAAAATAAACCTTCTTTTTATGCGTGAATTAACATACTCCAGTCAGGGTTAGACAGGATATGATGAAACAGAAACGAGATGTTGTTAAATTATCATCGCGGCACGCTGGATACATTTACAAGTGCTCAGACACCCTCCCCCACCCTCACCTCAACATAGAGCTCAGCGTCCGCTGGCTTACAATGATATTGATATGAATGGCACAGGCAAGAACGGAGTGAAAGAATAAACTGCCAGTCATGTGCGACATAAGGAGTCGGCGTAATGTAGCGGCTAGAAATTCGCCTGCGGACTGGAAGATCCTGGGTTCGGGTCTTGACGAAGTAGACTTCTTTTTCTAAAATGACCTTGACTCCCAAGCTGACCCAGCCTTGGGTGGATACCAGGTGCTGACCACATCACCCACTTAGTGCCGATAAGTCTATAAAATATAGGTCTGGCCCTGTATACCTAATACGCCTGAAGGCGAGATAGATAGATAGATAGATAGATAGATAGATAGATAGATAGATAGATAGATAGATAGATAGATAGATAGATAGATAGATAGATAGATAGATAGATAGATAGATAGATAGATAGATAGATAGATAGATAGATAGATAGATAGATAGATAGATAGAGAGAGAGAGAGAGAGAGAGAGAGAGAGAGAGAGAGAGAGAGAGAGAAGGCGTTTACCTGTGTGACATATCATGGCACATCTGGCCGATGATGATGATGCACGGTAACATTAAAAATGCTACTGTGTGGCAGTCACTAGCGTTTGTCATAGGAATTAAATTATTTACGGCGAGTGGCGGTGTTAGTATCACATCTGTCACCGATATTTTATTTGTTTTATCTCTCATTTAGTCATAGGCGGCAAGAAATGGGTTGCTTATACGAGCGTATATGGTAACAGCATATGCGAAGCATACTTGTGTGTGTATGTGTGTGTGTGTATGTGCTCGAGCGTGTACGTTCCTTTTTTTAAAAAATAAAAAATGTACTGATACCCAGCACAAAGTTTTTAAACAAAGTGCAGTAACTCAGCACTATATATATATATATATATATATATATATATATATATGTATATATATATATATATATATATATATATATATATATATATATATATATATATATATACCAATTCATACAGGGCATGTCTGTCTGTCTGTCTGTCTGTCTGTCTGTCTGTCTGTCTGTCTGTCTGTCTGTCTGTGTAATGTTCTGAACGGCAAGTAAGAAAAACAATATTTTTGAAATTTTATGAAATGTATAAATAGATATTTAAAACAGAAGTTTTCTACACGTCGGGGAGCGGAGGCCGCTTAGTCCTTTATAATTTTTTCTTTTCTCTGCTGCCTCCATCGCCTCCAACTTTCATAAACTCACGCACACACACACACACATACATACACACTCACACACAACACGGTCTCGTTCTGCCTCTCCTCCCCTCTTACATACACACGCACACACATACATACACATTCACACACAACACGGTCTCGTTCTGCCTCTCCTCCTCTCTTACACACACACACACACACGTACACATTCACACACAACACGGTCCTGTTCTGCCTCTCTTCCCCTCTTACATACACACGAACACACATATACACATTCACACACAACACGGTCTCGTTCTGCCTCTCCTTCCCTCTTACACACACACACACACACACACAACCTGACCACCCTCTACTTTTCCTCTTAAACTTACATTCACATACAACCTGCTCTTTCTCTTCAACTTTCATACACAACATAACCTCTCTTCTCTACCTCCCCACCAACTTCCACACACACACGGTTCTCTCCTCCCGTCCAGCTGTCACAGAACCCGGTTCCTCTTCTTTTCCTCCCCGCCAACTTCCACACACACACGGTTCTCTCCTCCCGTCCAGCATTCACAGAACCCAGTTCCTCCTCTTCTCAAACCTTAAAAAGCATAAAACCCGGTTCCCTCCTCCCCTCCAACGTTCATATAGATACAACCCTGTTCCCTCCTCCCCTCCAACGTTCATATAGATACAACCCTGTTCCCTCCTCCCCTCCAACGTTCATATAGATACAACCCTGTTCCCTCCTCCCCTCCAGCGTTCACACTCACACAACCCGGTTCCCTCCTTCCCTCCAGCGTTCACACTCACACAACCCGGTTCCCTCCTCCCCTCCAACGTTCATATAGATACAACCCTGTTCCCTCCTCTCCTCCAACGTTCACACTCCCACAACCCGATTTCCTCCTCCTCCTCTCCAACCTTCACACTCCCACAACCCGCTTCCCTCCTTCTCTCCAACCGTCACACCCCCACAACCCGGTTTCCTTCTTCTCTCCAACCTTCACACTCACACAATCCAGTTCCCTCCTCCCCTCCAGCGTTCACACTCACACAACCCGGTTCCCTCCTCCCCTCCAACGTTCATATAGATACAACCCTGTTCCCTCCTCCCCTCCAACGTTCACACTCCCACAACCCGATTTCCTCCTCCTCCTCTCCAACCTTCACACTCCCACAACCCGTTTTCCTTCTCCTCTCGAACCTTCACACAACCCGGTTTCCTCTGCGCCTCCGACATCCACACTCACACAACCTGGTTTCCTCTTCTCCTTTAAAGTTCACATTTACAGAACCCGCTTCCCTCCTCACCTCCAGCGTTCACACTCACACAAACCTTTTCCTGCCCTTCTCGACTCACCAACACTCCAACCAGTAAGAGGTCGCGCATGCGTGGATGTTTATTTTTGCAGCAGACAAGACCAGCAGACGAGAAGCGAACTCCATCATCATCACCAACGTTCCTACATTCTGTCCTGTTATTCTTGTATTCCACGGCATCACAGACACGATGGATTATACAGACATTAATAACAGTCAAATAATAATATAACAAGTCACAATTTACTTTACATTTTCTGTGGTTTTCTCTGGTCAGCTTGTGTGAGTAAATTTCGCCCGGCTCGCCGGCCACAACACATTGGCTTCGCAGATCAAGCTGACGACGTATGTGTGCAACGACAATTTTCATTGAGTTCTACGGATAATTTCCTCGAGAAATCACGTTTGTAGGCATGTGTTTACAATAACTGACATGAACGAAATAGAAAAGTAAGTTAACAATTACTAATACTAACAGTTACTTACATTTCAGCTATTAATAATATTACTGCTAATAAACATTATGGTTATTGTTAGTTAGCGAATTTTTTAAATTCATAGAACATAGATGGCTGTACTGTGAGTTTTGTAAAACATATGTTTTGAAGCTGTTTTTTAAACGTGACGAGAATAATGTACTTTAAGCAGCTTTTAAAAAGTACTGACGATTAAAAAAACTGAAATTAAATTCTTAAACACGCGTATAATCACATATATGCATTAAAAAAAAACTACCCTGGTGTTAACACTATTAACAGTACACTGTTCCATGGCTAAACTTCGTGTTCTACAGGCCCTGTTTTGTCCTTTGACGTGTTTCTGTTCAAAATTGTTAAATTCCGTTATTTAATTAGAAAATCTTTCATCGATGTTTATCGTGCTATCATAGACACCTCCTTTTTAGGCAGAGTTAATGTATTTAATAAGAATATATAAATGTCAAAGATTTGATGTTGGAGGTGTGATATTTGCTTTAACCCTTTCAAACCAATCAACTCACCAGCGTTTATAAGAGAAACTTCATGTACCAGGAGCGCTGGATAATTGGCACCTTTCCGTCTTTGAGGCGCTGGAATATGATGTCTTTAACATCTTGACCCCCCCCCCCCCCAAAAAAAAAAAAAAAACAACATTGCAGTGGGGGAGTATCATTTTTGGGGAAGGTTGGGAGGGAACCTTCCCCTAAGCAAGCATGTAATAAAAGGCAACTAAGTAAGGGTTTGCTGAAACTGGCTGTGTTGGTCCATTTATGATGTGAGTTATAAGGTAAGAACTGACAATGTAGCACTCGGGACATTTCTAAACCCATCTTCAGCAACAAGTGCAGAGTTCCAATTCTGATTTTACCAGTAACAGTCTGGCTGTCTGTCAATCTCATCCCTTTCCTGAGTTTTGAGCGTCGGCCGGATCCCATGGTCTCTCCTTGCTGCACCATTCTGAGACTTGGATGATCTGCTTGTGCCTTGTCCCTGTTTACTTTACTGACAAGGGTCCTTTACAACAGCTTGTCATGCATCATTTTACCACCAGATGCTACAGAACTAGCTAGTCTATCTTCCAGATCACTTCCCAGCATACTGGCATACCTTTGAAAAAATATCTAAAGGATGCTAACTTTTCGGGAACTCTGGGGCGATCACTAATTTGTCTAATTGTCAAGCCTCTCTTAGGTTTTCCAGTATGTGCCGCCTACCACTTATATTCAGTATAAATCACCTTATCTTATAAAAATAACATTTAAAGGCAACCTGTACATTTACAGATCGCTTTGCATTGATTTCAACAATGATACGGAGCACTGACTTTTCAGAAAGCAATGGCAAACTACTAAAGGTAAAAATGCATAGTAACAGTTCTGCAATGTCATGTAAAGGATGGACAACTAACTAATATGAAATGGTTTGAAGTACCATAAAGCTGTAAAGTTAAGAAATTAACGAAAATGGAAAATATAAAGGAACAGCTTTGCAAAAACACAAGCATGAGTGACAGAAATAATCTTGAAGCCTTCATCTGGAAACAAAACCAGTACCATTACATTACCAAAACTAAACAAAATTCTTCTTCTTTGTCTATGTTTTTCTCTTCTTTTATTGCTGCTGCATTTTTGTCCCTCACTGAAGCATTGTCCCTCTTCACTACTGGGTGAGGCACTGATGCATGGATAAGCAGAAGGCCCTTTAGGAACAAGTTAACATTGTGAAAGAGTGAATAAATAGATAATCCCATTCTGGAGAGAAAGATGGAATGAGGTTGATCAGAGGATGTGACTGGCATTGAGAATTCAGAGGAAAGGCAGGACGGACATATAATCAGACTGTAGCTGCTACCATTAGTATTGGAACTTTTATGTACTGGCTGCTGAATGTACTGGGCGCTTATGGGAATCAATTTCCTGGTGCGATACTGGTTCTGAGCTTAGCTCAAGGCCCACAGTCAGTTCATGCCAAATGTTCCTGTTGTTTCATAAGTATAAGATAAAGCAAATTCAGGTGAGGAAAGAATACCCAAGCAAATCCAGATCTGTCAAACAGCTGCTGTTTATTGACAGTCGCAGCATGTTGTGTGACACTGAATATACATTACAACACATGAGCACATTTAATACAATGAATAAAACATACAATGAGAAGATCAACTATCTATAGCAGAGGCCTGAAAGATCACTGTATTATTTAGCTTACTTTACTTTGAGATTCAGAACACGAGCATCAGACAGATTGCATGAAGAAAAAAATATCAAACTAAACACAAAGTAGAATGAGTCAGCTTCACAATATCACATACAAAAATGACAACTAGCATAGCGGTTAGAGAGCCTTCATCAGTACATTACATAAATCCAAAACCACAAGTACAAACAAGAATACACAAAATCACTTAAATGATGTATCTCTGATAGAAATCACATTTTTGACTGACCAGTAAATTATCTGACATGTGTGTGATTGCAGAATTTATATACTCAGATAGTGCTTTCAATGAAGATGTGAAGATGAAGAAAAAAAAAAGCTGTCAGCATATCAGTAATCACTCGGACATCAATATGGAAATGACTAATTGTACATTAAAAAAATTTGATTAACAATAATTATATTTGATCTATGTTATCAGACCCAGAGTTGTCTTCTTCGTCTTCATTAAACTTTAAAAGAGCAGTTGATTGTGTTGTGGTTTAATGTTAGGCTGTGATA